AAGAACATATAAGTTAACTATTGGAGTTAAATTGTGCCGATAGTTCTATACGCTCTCCCAAAACAATAGTAACAGTAGTCTTAAAATCATCATTATTTGTCACAGATAAATAATAATTCACTATTGAACCGATTACAAAATTAAATGACTTTTTATCATAATTTAGGCCCGGGAAAGTAGGTTTATGCAAAACAAATACCGTATTGGTATATAATAGTACTTGTAGCGAAGTATTGAAATGGGGTGGGCCCGCGTTACTTTATGGACCAAAAAGAAGTAGTAGAAATAATATTAGGGAAATGGGTTCACCACGTTCACCGCAACACTATGTTGCTGAAAGATTCAAATTATATCTAGACGATAATGCACCAGACAACCTATATTTATCACCAAATCTGGATTATAAAAAAGCTATTAGTGATTATTTATATCAAATGAGACGAGTGAGTAACTTGTAAGCTTAAGATAAATTCACTTTGAACATTGATCAGTTACGAATTAAATACTGTAGGTCATAGAAGAAACGCTTGATAAGCGTTGGCCAGGCCTTAAATTATCACAAGTTCTATTTGTTTTGTGTTCCTGCGAACTGGGTAAGTTATTAACTTGTCAAAAATCCAGAAGGCAAGCGAGTCATTAACACTCGATTCCTTTATTTTTTTATTTTATTATTAGGGATCGCATTCTAACGCCATAATGCGCGACTGCACATACAAAGCTGGATTGTAATTAAATATATTTTATTATGGTGATGAATTTTAACTATAACTTGTAACCTTGTTTATCGCTTACAATTAATTACAGATTAAACGAATCCATCGCTTCGCACCTGGAATTTATAACAGAACGTAATTATCTTTATTTCGTATCTTGTTTAACGACGAGGTACATTTATTGATTTCTTGTTCCATAACAATAGTGGAGGCGGCGGAATAATCAAATTTTGTGCACTCTGATTGGCCATTTCCTTTCTAGGGGTTTGTATTATCCGCACAAATAAGTGCGTGCTTTAAACTTGACGTGTCATTATTTCCCGGTTTGTAATTTTGAGCGGCCTTTGCAAGTGATACAAGCCAAAAAAGGAAACTTCTTATGCAGATCATAAGGTAAGTTTAGCAAAGATTTTAGTATACGTATTCAATTTTTCTAATACCGTAAACTTGTATGTTATTAGGGACACAAGATAAATCAAAACAACTGTCATGCATTTAAACCCCAACCTCAATTCTAATGCTAATTATGGTCATTGTTGCGCACATAAGCACCTAAAGTGTTGTGCGCATAGCTTTCACTCATTTGGAGAACACTTAACCTAATGATCAATAATGGCATTAAAACATTTCATAATCTAAACCTAAACTATAGTCCTACCTTAATTCTAAACTAACCTTAATCTGGGCCAAAATTATTTTGTGATGATCACTTGGTTAACTGTTATTCAAATTTCCCTTGTAAATCTGCTTGATATTGTTTAGTTTCAGATTTATTTGCACTTTAGTTAGTAATTATTAATTTTTGTAGATACATTTCTCGTCGTTGATTGCGGTGGTGGAACAGTCGATCTCACAATGAGAACTCTACTACCGGGCAATAAATTAAAAAAAGAAACAGTAGAAACTGGAAACCTATGTGGAAGTACATATGTAGATCAAGAATTCTTACATTTTATGGGCCGCACAGTTGGTTTTACCGCTTTACAAAAGCTACAATCATATGCTTACGGTGATTTGCAAAAACTTGTTCATAGGTTTTCATTGAGACTGTAAAGTTTCCGTTCACTGGAGATCCCGACGAATTTGAAACCATTGAATTAGATCTCGAGAAAGATTGCCCTTCATTGATTAAATATATCACAGGGGCAGAAAGAATTAACTTAGAATATAATGAATGGATTATCGAATTAGAGTTCGAGACAGTGAAAAAATGTTCGATCCAGTAATCGAAAAAATCATTGAGTTAATTAACAACCAATTGTTGAACCTTACAATAAAACCAGTAAAACGCAAATGTAAGGCAATGTTTTTGGTTGGAGGTTTTAGTGAATCTCTATATTTAAAAAAACGAGTCCGAGAAATGTTTCAAGAACGTGTACCCATTATTGCGTCTCCCCGACAGCCAATAGCAGCCATCGTTAAAGGAAAGTCTAGTCTTGAATGAAAGTACGGAGTAGAGGTATGGAAGATTTTGACATTCGTAGTGGTCAGCTAGACATTGGTGAGTTATATTATAAATCAATAGTAATTTAGTAATTCATAAATTCAGTGGAATTAATATCGGAATTCTGTACTTCTTATTCTAAAAATTGATTCACCCAGAGCTTCTTCACTAGGAGAGATTGACCTGTAAACTTGGATTAACTTTGACACAGTGGAAATAAAAAATATCATTAACGAGTAAAATATATTATGTAACTTTCGAATTAGATGTTAATGATAAAAAATAACAATATTTATATTACCGTTCAAGGATTTTATTTTTTTTTATATGAAAGATAAAACCGTAACCATTTACGTTGTTTCAAAGAAAAAATGATTTGTTGAATAAGTATATTGTTTACAGGAATTCACGTATAAAAGCATCTATTTATGTCTATGTTTTTATTATATTTATTTGTAACAGCATAGCAGTTAGCCAATAATTTCAGTTTTAGGATTTAATTTGTAAATGTAGAATCAAAAATATATGCGATTACTTTAAAAGTGTTGTAACAGTGTATGTTGTAATAACCGACATTTGTCACAATTAAGTCTTTGACCATAACTCTAATCTTAGAAATGACGATTTATTGGTATATGTGAGCTGTCAAAGTAAAACTTGTAAATTGTAAATTTAAAACCCCGATTACAAATTTTCTTTTCGCGACACTTATGCATTTACAAAGTAAACCAATTTAAACTTTAAAGAATTTGAGGTGAGTGCATCTAATCAATAACCCTTTATATTATTAATCTTTTCTCAAGAATTTACATTCCGTAATAAAGAACAATCTATAAGTCATTCACATTTTAACGAAGCTGCCATTCTATTAGTAAAAATCTTAAAAACTCATCAAAAGTTTATTAATAAATTCACTAATTTGAGAGAATTTCAACAGATTGGTTTTGTATCTAACCTTATTTTTTTGGCCGTCATATCGAATAAATAATTTCTTGTTATCTGGCATGATGTGACTCCGATACATCATACCAGATAACTAGTTTATCCGGCAGGTATGGCGTATACACTGATGGAACCATATTATTGCCTAAATAACCTACGAGCGAAACTTTTTGATGGAAATGTTGTGATTTTTAGAATTAAGTGATCTACGTAATGATTTATTAATGATTTATAAATAATTTATAAATATTATGATCAGTTTCATAAGCAATTTACTGCTAAGAAAAGCAATTGGCCAATTAAATACTATGATGATTTATAATTATTATGCGGTTTCATGAACGGTTTCATAAGCGGATTAATAGTTAATGCATATATTTTGACTGATCCACCTTACCTAATTTGTTTATGCAGTGTAATCTTCCTTACTATTTATATTTATTTGGTGTATTCTTTTTTTACTATTTATCGTATTTTGTGTCGCTTTTGTGCATATGATCGACAGTGTTACGACCAGTGGGAGAGACTTTATAATTGAACCTAGCTGCCGCACCAAAATTTCACGGATGATCCTCGATTTTGATTGGCTATGAGCGACGATCAATAATT